ATTTGGGCAGCGAGAACAGGGGCAGAGTGCTGCATTGATGTCAGCTCCGAGAGTCCCCAGGGCATCGGGGCTTTTGAAGTGGACTTGGGGGTAGCTGTCACAAGGACCAGGCTCCTCTGAAGTACTAAAAGCCCCAGCCTCTACTTGGGTTTGTTTGTACCTGCCCGAGGCGTTTCCAGGCGTTTCCCTTCACAGCCCACACAGCCTCTGCAGCCTTGCCTGCCCGGGTGACGGTGATGGTGCAGCCGGCCAGAGCCCGGGTGCTCTTCCACAAAGAACAGCCAGCTGGGCCTGTTGTTGGAGGTGGGAGTCCAGTGTGACCAACGCTGGACTAGAGCAGGGGACTGACAACAGGTGTGAACCCAGGCAAGATGGCTCACCTCTCTGAGCCTGAGCTCCCTCTTTGGTAAAAGGGTCAAATTTCCTGCAAAACAAAGTCGAGTTATACTCACACAGGCTGAGTGTTCAAATCTGGGCCTTTTTTTTTTCCCTTCCCTAAAAGGGATCATTAATCTCTGGACTGTCACCTGCAGGTGACAGGGACCATGTGTGGGGGGTGAAAATGGAGACATGGGGGTCTCAGGGCAAAGTAGTCCAGAGCCCCAGAGATCCAGCTTCTGCTCGAAGCGACGTGGCTTGTCCCCGGGGAGGTTTCTCGGCGTGGCTGTACCACCGCTGGCCCGTGGTACACTTGGCTAACGACAGCGTGAGATCCCCAGGGAGGCCTATAGAAGAAGTTGCGTGTAAATGGCAACTGCATTCCCCAGCTTTGGGGAACCGCCCTAGATGTTCTTGTTCTGTCCCTGTTAGGATATGTGTCCCATTTTCTGTGTCCTAGTGAGGCTTGGCGTGCAGAGGAGGCCCCGGGGGCCGGAGCTGTGTGTGTGTTTAGGAAACTGCTTTGGGAGGCCCAGCCCTGGAGCGAGGGTCCTTCCACCCCGATCTGGTCCCAGCTGTGCCTGCTTCTGCTCCTTCCCCACTGAGGGCCCCTGAGCTCTGACACATGGGTGTTGAACGGGTTCCCTTCTCCCCCCGCTGTGCACAGGCGAGGGAGGACTGTGCAGAAGCCTGCTGGCAGAGACACCATGGCGGTGCAGTGACCTCCCTGTGTCCCCACAGGTATTACAAGAAGTTCTCCATTCCCGACCTAGACAGACACCGGCTACCTCTGGATGATTCCTCGCTGAGCTTTGCTCATGCCAACTGCACCCTGATAATCTCTGTAAGATTCCCCCTGACGCTCAGCCACTGCTCCAGAGAGGCTTCCTCTTTGCCTGGATACTTCCTATCCCACAGGAGTCCAGAGTTCCAGCCCAGCTCCTGGGGCGTGCATGCTGGAGGACAGCCCCTCTAATTCAGTATGGGAGTAAGGGCTGGGCTCAGGAAGTGCCTGGCTGTGGGGGTCACAGCCGGAAGAGAAGGGGAGGCAGTGCAAACTGCAGGGTATGGGTTCTGGTTGGGCTGCTTCTTCCCAGCCACGTGACCTTAAGCAAGTTTATTCAAGTCTGTGGGCCTCAGTTTCCTCATGTGCAAATAAGGGGATCAGAAGGGGTGGGGGGCAGCAGGTGGCATGGTGGTTGAGGTGTTGGACTCCTGACCACACACAGTTCAAGTCCTGGACCTGGATGTTTGCTTTCTTACTTTCCTTCTCTCTCTCTTTCTCTGTTTGCCTCTCTCTGGTGAATGTATATGCACTATAAAAAAAATAGTAATTAATAAAATAATGAATTTGAAAAAGAGGCTCCGGGGGTGTGTAGTGGAGGGGGAGGGCAGCAACTGAATTGTGTTTTCTGATCCATCCACAGTATCAGAAACCAAAGGAGGTCGTGGTAGCAGAGTCAGAGCTGCAGAAGGAGCTAAAGAAAGTAAAGACCGCCAACAGCAGTGATGGGGACTGCAAGACCCAGTAGCTGGCTCCAGCACCCCCAGTGAGGTGCTGAGATACCAGGCTCGGCCATTCCAGCACCGGCCGCTCTCCTCTAGCAGTGTCACCCAGAGTCTCACAGCCTGGACCCCGGGCCCTCAGCCTGTCATGCGCTTGTTTTCTGAGTAAAGTCATTCTGAATGCCTGCCGATGGTCGGCCTTCCTGTCCGCCTCCATGTGCTACCTGCCCTACACCCACTCACTGCCCCCAGGAGGCCATGGCATCCTCCATCCGGACCTTCCACAGGAAGCCGCCAGTGAAGGGAGAAGAGGGTGGGCGTATCTGACTCCCCGGGCGGGTGGGCAGCTCCCCAAACTTGCTAGCATCTACCCAGACAGGACAGGGACGGGACAGGGACGGGACCCAGAGGAAGGCTAGGCTGGGAGGGCCCTGTGCCTCCCTAGCCTGCAGAAGTGGCAGAGCAGGCTCCCTAAGGTAGGTGTGGGCAAGGGAAAAGTTTCTAAAAATGCAGAAACCTTGTAAACAGTGGATTAAGACATCGTGGGTGAAGAGGGTTCAGAAGGGCCGAGGTTTGGCTGAGGGCGAGCGAGGTGGGGCAGCCGAAAGGTGCACCAGGACAGTAGCGGCTGAGCCCTGCAGCCTGGAGCCCTTCCACAGTCCCCTTCCACACCCATAGGGGACACCCTAAGCAGGAGCTGTTCCTGAAGAAAAAGAACCTTCGCTCTTTGGGACACAGCTGTGAGGTGGGCTTGTCCTTTCCCCAGCATGCACGAGTTTGAATCCACTGTCCTCACTCCCTGGGCCTTCTGGAATGTGCAGGCAGTGAGGAAACATCTGTGAACAGTCAAGCTTTATTTTTACAAAAATGAAAATGGTTTCACATCTCAACAGCCAACCTGAGGTACCGCTGGCTCAGAACTCACTCAGAACCGCTGGGGTCCCCTTTGTCCTTTCTTTGTTTCAAAGCAAAGCCGGGCCACAGTGTCCCAGGGGTAGACCTTGAGAAGCTGGTCAGGGTCAGGATCTGAGGGGGAGGCTGGCGCCAGGGGGGGACTGGCAGCCTCACCTCTCCTTCCAGGGACCAGCTGGGGAGGTGGAGCGCAGCGCCCGCCTGCTCTGTAGGCTACCGGACCGGGCCTCTCCAAGCCAAATCCTGGCTCCGGCCCAACAGGGATGCAGGGCTGGGGCTGGGCTGCAATTCTTCCTGTCTCTCCAGCAGGTTCCCGGGAGGGACTGCCCCTCTGGGTAAGCCTCAAAGCCCGGGGTTGGTAGCCTCTGGTTGGAAGTGTCCGCGCACTGTGTCAGAGTCTGGGAGCACAGCAGGGAGTGGGGAGGAGGGATTGCTGCGCCCTCCAGGCAGGAGAGTCCCTGAGTAGCTGGCTGCCCTGGCCCGCAGGCGGGGGCGGCGCTGGCTGTCACGGGTTCTGAAAGTCCAGGATGTGGAGGTTGTAAGACAGGGCAGCGTAGAGATGCTTGGTGGTGAAACGCAGGCAGTACACTGGGCTGCTGAGCGGGGTCGACGTCAGTGGAAAGGCCTAGAAGGGAGGGCAAGAGCGGTAAGGGCTTTCGGGTATGGAAATGCGGGCACCGTCGAGGGGCCCCCAGGCCCAGTGAACAGGGACGTATGCCATCGCAGGCGTCCTCAGCCCTCCCCAGGCACACCGTGGCAGGGCACGTACGTGCAGGCAGGCCCTCTGGCGCCGGTCCCACAGCCGCACAACGCCGTAGTAGGAGGAGCCGGTGGCCAGCAGGTGGTTGCCGTCGGTCTGCAGGCAGTACAGCGTGCTGTCGTGGGGCTCCTCCCACTCCATGACGCACTTCCTGTCCAGGAAGAGGGGGTGCAGGCGAAGGCTCGGGCTGCTGTCAGCTTTCAGCCCAGCTTCCCCGGAAACCCACAGGGGCTGGCGGGAGGTTACTGAGCCCGAACAGGTCGGGAGAGGGAAGCCTGCATCGTGAGCGTCTTTGAGAAGCAAACTTAGTGGGAGAAGGCGTCGTCTGTGAGGTCTCCCCGAGCCCGGACCGCAGCGTGGACCATGCTGTTGTCACATGGCTGGCGGTTTGTCACAGGATTCACAGGGAAAGGAGCGATAGAGGCCTTAAGAAAGGCGGGGCAGAAAACTGTACCCCGGTAGCTCCAGAGGCCGAGAAATGCCTGCCCTTTCAGGGCCCGTTGGCTATGGCCTCCATGGCTCCCGAGGTGGGCAGCCTAAGCTTGCCAGGGTCTTGCTGGCCTCGCCATTCCCAGCCCTGACGTGGAGTCTCACCCCTTCCACAGGGAACTCCGGGCAGGAGGGAGGACCAGGATGGGCACAGGGCTCCCGCCACCTCCCTCCCGCCCTCACACTCACCGGACGCTGGTGCGGAGGTCCCAGTAGCGGATGTAGGTGTCATAGCCACAGGACAGCAGTGTGGAAGGGGACTCATACATGACGTCCAGCACGCCAGCCCCCGGGGGGAAGTCACTGCCCAGGTGTGTCACCAGCTGCCCACTGGGGAGAGGAAAGGCGAGAGAGGCTGCCCTACGACCCACACACCATGCTTGTAACCCTCAGATGGCATCAGGCCTCAGGGAGACGCAGGTCTTCCCCAGCTGGAACCAGAGGCGCCCCAGGCTCTCTGCTCTCCAGCCAGTA